CCCTACACCATGTTCCTGAGGTAACACGACCCACTGTCAGTGGAGTGGGAATGGCACAGACTCCCGCCTTTGCACCCCCCCAAAAAAAAAACAAAATATAAAAGTGAGCCACTTAGACCCCCCACGACTGTCCTGAGCCAGTGCTGATAAAGGGACCCTTGGCTATCTGTTTACATTGGAGCAGTGTAAATTCTCCAAGGTTCATATTTATCCGTGTGCTTAGCAAGTTACTGAACTTTGGACTTCAGCACTGCAGCAGCAGTTCACAAAGTGCAGAGAGCGGGGGAGGGGGAAGGGTAGGGAGTGAGCCACTTAGACCCCCCACGACTGTCCTGAGCCAGTGCTGATAAAGGGACCCTTGGCTATCTGTTTACATTGGAGCAGTGTAAATTCTCCAAGGTTCATATTTATCCGTGTGCTTAGCAAGTTACTGAACTTTGGACTTCAGCACTGCAGCAGCAGTTCACAAAGTGCAGAGAGCGGGGGAGGGGGAAGGGTAGGGAGGAAGAAGAGAGAAGGAGAGCAAAAGCAATGGCCAGGGAAAAAGCCAGGATGGGAGACAGACAGAAGAGAGAAACGGAAAGAAAATGGAACAAGAACGTGAGCTGAGGTGTCTGACTGGTTCTTGGCCCTATTGGCTTAAGTCAAGAACAGGGATACGCTCCAGGAGCCAAAAGCATGAGGCTCAGCCCCACAAAACCCTTTGAGTTGGGAATTAGCAGCTTCAGCAGCTCAGCCAATCTGTGCTGTGTGCACCCCAAGCATCAAGTACAACCTCTGGACTTACTCTCATATTCCCAGATCTCCCAGAGGGCTCCCATTGACTTTGTGGTACATGCAGAGGCACTACATGGTATCTGAGCCAGTTCCCCATATTGACACTTACCTGTCCCCATTTGTCTTCTTCATAACCTACTGCCTTTATTATTCATTTGCTGAGTGCTCAGAGAATGTGCTCACTTTATAAAGGGGACATGGGGCCTGCCTCATTGAATTTATAATCTAAGTAGGCAAACAAAATAAACATGCAAGCTGTGTTCTGGGTATTGGTGCACGGCTAGAGGTTCCTGGCTTGCGTACAATTGCTCCTCCTCTCCCTATGAGTGCCACCCACAGTGACTTCATTTATCAACACTGTACTTCTGTCCCTGTTGAAACTAACCTGCTTTAGGGAGCTACTCCTAACTGTTGGATCTTTCTTAAACGACTTGTGCTAATTAATCCCAAAAGATATAGGCTTGATGCAGGAATCACTTGGCCAAACTCTCTGGCCACTCTTGTACTGGAAGTCAGATAAGTCGCTGTCCCTTTTCATCTCCACATCTGGGAGTTAACGTGTCTACTCTGACTGGCTAACAAGGTGTATCTAAAATGATCAACTTGTAATAGTCTAATTTCCCAATGTTGATTTTATAGCTTGTACCATCTCAATCGGGAAGTGATGGTTGTTTCCTGTGCGGGATCAGAGAGGGGAAAATTTTGACAATAATGTTTTACTGAGGGTTCTCTATAGAGTCACTCCATCACACAACTGCCCCCCATTTATAGGCTCTCCTCTAAGGCCCAAGCTGAGGAAGGCTGGATGGAGCTTCCTGCACAGCCCAAGGACTGGCAAAAGATGCTGCTACACTGTGACCTTAGACTCTCCCTTCCCTTTGGGGGCTTCCCAAGCTTCATTCCATAGAGTTCATGCTTGTTGAGTCAGCAAAAGACAAAGCTCCTCGTCAAACTGGATCCCTATGATGACAACACAACAAGCAGGGCCACTTGTAGGGGGGATGGGCCAGGAAGATGGTTGCCCTTACCCAGGGTTTTGGTGGCTATTTTACTCCATTCTGCTGATTGGCCATCTGTTTTAATGGTGTTTGTTTCCTCTGGCCACTGTAGAAAGATTTTTCTGCCCTGACCAGCAAAACTCCTAGGGCTGCTCCTGACAACAGATTATCAGTGGATTGCTGGCTCAGCCCCTCAGCAGGGATTTTCACTAATGGTTTTCCTTTGTTTCAGATGGATTCTGCTCCAGAGAGCACCTCCTCCTCTTGGCACAGTGCAGAAGAGAGAAGTGAATGTGGCACACTGGACATCTTGGAACCCAGCCTCACATTCAGCAGTCAGTAGTCTGAGCCTTAGTTGTAAGTTTGGAAAACTTTCATTTTCATTACAAAAGCCAGCTGTGATGCATACAGCTACGAAACTGCCACCCTTTGTTTTCTGTGTGCTGCACCTTTATGATTCTAGGAACATGCTGTGCGGAGACAAGAGCCACAGTGGTCCCAGAGTTGCTGCAGCATGTTACATTGGAGATTCCTGCACGTTGTGCTCTTATCGCTGTTCTTTCCTTAATGTGGTGGTTTCCTTAATCTTAAATAAATCATTCAGACTGAATGTGAATTTTTACTTTAAGAATGTTTGTATTTGTTGTCTCTCAAGCATACAACAAAAATAAATAGCAGATTGGACAGAATCTAGAGAAAGGAAGTTTGCATTCTGTGGGTGGAAGATTTTAGAGGGAGACATCTAACATTTCTATCTGATCTAAGGGGTTCATCATTTATTTAGCAAAAAATAGAGAAGTAATTATTTTATTTAAATTACAGTACTGATTTGGTATGAAGGTACGTGCTTTCTCTTTGTACGTAGAAAAATACAGAACATTCATCAAAAGGACTCCTTCAGGTTAAAAATGAGAATTTTTTTTGCACGTGGTTACATTTTATCTAAAACCTGAAATAATTTCTTAGAGTTTAAGGTCGGAAGGGACTTAGTCTGGCTGCCTGTCTATCACAGACCACTGACTAGCACCCACACACTAAACCCACCCACAAAAATGTGATCAAAGCATTAGGATCCAGGGACATCCTTAGGGTGTATGGGGCCTTATGCAGCACTGTTAATCTGGTGTCCTTTTGCCCAACAACAGCACAGGGGAGGAAGGAGGATGATTTTTTAGAGATGTGATTTTACAATCTTGAGAGACACACCAATGACATTTTTAAAGCAATGTTTAAACCAAGGCCCTGTAGAGTAACACACATAAATTCAGAAACTGACAGTATTTACTGGGGATTGGCAAATGCCTATTAAATGGCTTCATTACCAATTGAAATGTCTCTTTCACAGGTAGAACATTCTTCTGAAAGGTGTTTCACTTCTTAATTAACTAGATCAGGGCTACTCCACACGTGGCCTGTTTGTTTGCAGCCCTTGGTGCCGTTTGGGTTTATGTGGGGCTCAACATGTGGCCCACAGGAGGGAACCAAAACAAAATAGTTGTCAATATAATGGTCTTCTGTTGATCTGTGTTTTAGTAGTTAAATTCCTAGACTGTCATTGCTCATTAAAAGTGCTGTCAGATGGGTAGAAATGGAGTAATACTGCATTTTATTCATATCAGCAGAACTGACTTAAATGGAGTCTTGAGTGTTGTGTAGTCTTGTCTTAATCTTTGTATTCATGCCTGTCAGTGTGACAGAAGCTATTTGCATATATTTGCATGTATAGGCAACCACACTTAAGCTGAGGCCTTCGGCATGTGCTGTGAGCGTCTTTGTGGCCCACGGGGCTTCCAAAGTTGAGTAGCCCGGAACTAGATCGCCTCTGAAGGAAGCAGAGCCACAGAATAGGGATAAGAAGAGGTGGATGGTGGATATAAAGACCCAGTGGTGCCCCAAATTTTCAAGTGCCCCATGCAACTGTGTATTCTACATATGGGTAAGGATGGTGCTGTTAGCTTCCATAGAAATCTAGGCTTTTGTGCTACAGAGAATAGAAAGGTACATCATGGCAGGAAAATGATTAAATTACATATATCCAGATAATCCTGGGAAGTGACATACTGCAGAGGTGGGCAGAACACGGACATAGTTACGCCTCATCTGACCTATGGGAAAAATCCTTCCTGCCCCAACCACTGCCCCGCCACTCTCATTGGCTGGGAATGTGGCCAATAGAACTGTGGGAGGCAGCACCTTCAAACGGGCAGCGCACAGAGCCTCCTGCCAGCGCCTTTGTATAGGAGCTGGGTGGGGAGTCGCTTCTGCTTCTGAGAGCAGCTGTAGGTAAGTGCCATCCAGAGTCTGCACTCCTGAGCCCAGCTCCCCTGCCCTAGCCCTGATTCCCCTCCTGCCTTCTGAACCCTTTGAATTAGCGTTTTGCTAATTCGAACTAGCAAGTCCACATTGAGTGGACCCTGAACAGGGCTTAAGGATGGCCGGAAGCAGTGCCGGCAGGGCATCAGAGGAGGACATAGAGCGTGGAGATGCTGTCTCAGGCTAGCTGAGGGCTGCGCTTAAAGGGTCCCGACCCCCACCCCGGACAGACAGTTCTAAGGGGTGTCCCGCTTGCAAAGCAGTCCTGGCTTGGATTGCCCGGAGTGCCCACACTGGGCACATCACAGCACTCGGCCATCAGCCCGGCTGCCCTGGCCGCAGGCTGCCATCTGGGGAGAGGGGGCAATTGGGGGGCGGCAGGAGAGCTTCCACCCCCAGAAGCCCGCAGAGCCAGCCCAGTCCTCCCCATCGGGGGCGCGTACCCCATTCCTCCCTCACCTCCTTCCACTTACCCTTCCCTAGCCCCCCTTCTTATTGATGTACAAAATAAAGATAACGTTTCTTCCAACATTGACTCTGTCTTTATTGAAAAAAAACTGGGGGAGACTGGGAAAAGGAGGTGGGAGAAGGGAAGAGAAAGGCTGGGAGAGGGGAGGGCAACTAACATGATCAGGGGTTGGGAACAGGTCCCAGATGAAGAAAGGCTACAGAGACTGGGACTGTTCAGCTTAGAAAAGAGGAGATGGAGCGGGGACAGGATAGAGGTCTCTAAAAGCAGGGGTTGGGTGGAGAGGGTGCATTCAGAAAAGTTCTTCATGAGTTCCCATAAAAAAGGACTAGAGGACACCAAAGGAAAGGAATGGGGAGCAGGCTTCAAACTAGTAACAGAAAGTTCTTCTTCA